TACATACATACATACATACATACATACATACATACATACATACATACATACATACATACATACATACATACATACATACATACATACATACATACATACATACATACATACATACATACATACATACATACATACAAAGAACTCATCCTTAATCATGGTTTGTAAATCACACACACACACACACACGCCCACACATACACACACGAAAACACACATGTTATTGACTTATGATTGTACATATGCATGCATGTATATTACAATTTTAGAAACTTAATGGTTTTGTTTATTTACATTTATATATATTGTGTTTAATTTATCTATCAATAAATGGCATCTCCTTGTCCCTATATTGATGCGGCGTGACATCCCACAACCACTACGATCAGGACTTTATAAATCTGTGTCTTGTTATATGGTGCAGAAACATGGCCAATGACAACCTAGCACACGTCCCAAAGGCCGCCCGAAGAAGTCCTGGTCGCATACAATCGAGCAAGACATGAAAGCTCTCAATTTAAATGAAATGGATACAACTGATCGTCTAATTCGACGCAAAAAAATTGATGGCAAAGAAAACAACCCCCTACCTCGGGGGAACCGGGTCTCTGGACGCAAAACGAAGATTGATTGATTGTTTAATTGCATACAAACATAGTGTGAAACATGTATAACAATTTCTTCTCCCATTCAATACAATGCAATGAAACTTCAAAAACATTTATAATGTGATTAATATTTTTCGGGGTCGTAAACGCTACTATGGCCAATCAATTTCTAATTATAATTAATCATAATAAAGATAATTATTAATAACTATTAGAGAAATATTATACATAACTATAGATATTTATAATTATAAGACATTCCTCAATGATCGCCACATTTTACGTCATTCTTCTCTTGCACTGTCTGCTTGCATAGTTCCTCCGTATGTTTGTGTACTAACTCAACGAACGACTGCATGCCACTTAGAGGGGTATCAGGGTATATACCGTGCCCCAAATTAGCGATGTACCCGCGCGTTCCGAATTCTTTCACCATTCTCTCTACTAATTGTGTTAGTTGGGCCTGAATTAGAAATTAAACAAATTTTATTGGTTTTTCACGTAGTTGAGCTTATGTGTGATAAATTAGTATAAATAATTAATTTATTTATGAATTAGTTTGTTAAACAGTTCATAAATATCATAATTAATTGTAATAAATATTCATATTGCAACCTCGTCGGCATAAAGGGCACATGGATCGAGATTGCCCTGTAAGGTTATGCAACAGTGAGTCTCTTCTCTGCAGTGTTTATGATAATTTACAATACGTTATTATAATTTATTATAATTTATGCAAGCCAATTTCGACCTTGCCCTTTTAGGAGATATCGTCCAATCAAGGCCAAGAACGTCGTAGCCTATTTTCGACAGGTCTTTTAGTGCAAAGTGAGCGTCTTTGGCAAATATCGTCTGTTATTGAGTTGGCAAATTTTTTTTTATTAAATTATTAAAGAAAATACACATATTATTGTGAACTTTGGTGAATCATTTATTCATCCGTTCATTCATTGATTGGTTGATTAATTAATTCCTTCATTCATTCATTCACTTATTCATTTATTCATCCAATAGACCATTGGCACTTGATTGATCCCTTTTTCCTTCAATCCCTCTTTGACACCCTGTGATATCATTTTCAGGTATGGGATACCAAAGATGCTGAATAGATCCGGACCCAAGATGCCGGCGTGGGAGTCAAATATCTGTAACATCTGTCGTTCAGTTGGTTTAAAAAATGGATGAACGAATGTATGTCGCATATACAATTAAGTTGCATATTTCACTAACTGATCAAATAAACAGATGAAAAAAAAACAAACAAACCAATTAATCAACCAAATCATTCATATTTCAGTTGAACCAGCTAACTAACCTGTGCCCCGGCCTCAACTTGACCTATTAAATATTTAATGACAACCTTCGTGACCCACATAAGTAGCTCGTGTGATTGACTGGCGTGGTTGTACAACCACTTTTTTGATTTGGAATAAGTAGTAGAACCACCACCCTCTATCATGTAGGCCATCAAGGTCCACTGTCCAGATGATGATGATGACGAAAAAAATGATGAAAATGATGATAAAGACGATTAAAATTCATGAAAATGATTAATATTCATGAAGATGACTAATATTCATGATGATAAAAAGAGAAACAGACAGACAGACACATACAATCCCAGACAAACAAAACACAGACAACAACGACAGACATACAGGAGCCCCAGAGAAACCGAGCAAAGGGCATTTCCCCTCCAACTTCGTTCTAGTAAGAGTTATGGCATCAAAAACATATTTCAACGTCACATAGACGTCAGTGTCTGGTTTCAATCTTTTCATATCGTCTGGTGTGTCTAATGGCTGAGGAAATGAGGGCCCCTGGAGTAAGATACATTAGATACATTAATATATCTATATGTTAATGTATTTACATATATCAACAACATGTGGGAAGATATCATTAATAGGATATCTAGATACATGTAAATATTATTAACATAACAAACTAATATGTGGATATCATAAATATCAATACAACCTTCCCAGGCAACATTTGAACTTCAAGCCCCATAGCCTCCGGGACGACGAGTATGTCAGAAAATATTATAGCCGCATCTAAATCAAATCTCCTAATCGGCTGGTGGAAATGAAATAGAAAAAATCAGATGAATAAAATTATAAAAATTAATAATTATTAATATTATTTATTATTTTGACGAGCAATACCTGCAAAGTTACTTCGCATGCAAGCTCAGGTGTCTTGCAGACCTCAAAAAATTCATGTTTCTTTCTTATTTCTTGAAATTCTGTTATTAAAATAAAACAAAATAAATTTTGTTAATTAAATTATTAAAGAGAACCAACTACCACCTAATCATCTATCCAGCCAAACAATCAAAAAAACTGACAAATCATCAGCCATCTAAAATTTAACATATCAGCTTTTTAAATTTTCATTAAAATTAAAATGAAACCATTCAATGACTTAGACATTTATCAAATCTTAAATCAGATATTTAACCAGACGACCAATCACAAACCGGGGAGATATCTGCCAGCCTGCCTCATAACCCACACTGGCACCCTTTCAACCGGTTCTCCTCTGGCCGCTCTCAGGATCAGATCATTTTTCAATGGCGGAAAAGTCTTAATTTAATTAAAAAAACAAATGCGTTATTATGTTTTTTATTCGTTAGAAATAAATTTTCATTAAAAATCTTACTTTTGCAGTCATTTCTAATTGAAAAATAACTTCAACAATTTTTTTAAGCTTAACTTTTAAATATTTAAAAGTGAAGCAAAGGTTAAAAGTACTAATACTGCAATATAAAACGCTATAAAATTTTTATTATGATTTAATATAAACAGCTTTAAACACAGAAATCTTTCTGTATATGAATTATATCTATACAAGTAAGCATATTTCACATATTTTATAACCACACTATAACTAATTCTACTTTTTCAAATAAATTAAAATGATTTTTTTGATGAAGAACAGATAACTTTGTGAAAGAAGCCTTTAATTTTTAGAATTCAACCTTTGTGTTATTAATATTCTACAAAAGCTACCACAATTACTATAGTAGTGATACTATACAACTATAATAGGAATAGTATAGTACTATACAACCATAGTATATTTCTATAGCAGTAATAGCATTAGTACAATTAATACTAAGAAATATTTGGTATTATCTAATTCATAACGACAACAATAACATCTGTAGTTTTTATTGGTGTTATCAACATTGTTAGTATTAATATTATTATTAATAATATTATTATAGTATAATTAATATAAATTATGAATTCAGCTATTGTTAAACTTAAATAGCTAGTTCATTCAAGTAATTGGCATACATACATACGTTCGTGTATTTTTTGTCGAAGAAATATTTGAAAAAAAAAACAAAAATTATAATCCATAAAAGTTTTGTGAAGCATTTAAAAGTAATAATAATAATAATAATAATAATAACAATAATAATAATAATAATAATAATAATAATAATAATAATGATAATGATGATGATGATGAGGATGATGATGATAATAATAATAATATTGGGATCGTCATCGTCATCATTACTTATTTTTACGACGTTAATAATTATTTTGTTAATTATACCAACAATGTTTGTTATTATTATTATTATTATTCAAATAATTAGCAGACTAAAGTTTTTTTTTAATTTCCTCCATCCATCTTCATACTTCCACGGCGCCATCTTGGATGACCGGAAAAGGATCAATTACAGAGCTCCGCTGGCCATTTAATGATGACGTAACACTCACGTGATCTTTTCGCGATTCTTCTCTCCTTATGACGTCAGGATTATTATCGTGATATGATTTATTATCTTTGTTTACTGCAGCCGTACACTTGACAGTGGTCAGAACGTCAGCCAATGAGATAGCGGGCCCAGATGATTTGCCGACTTGCCATTGGCTGTTATTTTTAGCACAAGTTTCGCAAAAAGCATCGTTGTTATTGTTGTCGCTATAAATGGTACTATTGTTATTTTTGTTGTTGTTGTTGTTATAATTATTTTTATTATTATTATTTGGTGATGATGACGTCAACGAAGAAGCAAAAATTTGATTAATTATTTTTATCTTCTTAATCGGCGAAGTCGTTGCTGTGCCTTCAGCTGCTGCTAATGTTGATATGTTGCTCTTCAATGCTGCAGACTGTTGTTGTTGACGATGCTGTTGTTGTGGTTGTTGTTGTTGTTGTTGACGATGTTGTTGTGGTTGTTGTTGTTGTTGATGATGACGATGTTGTTGCTGCTGTTTTATCGTGGCTGCTTCGCCTCCTCGTGACGTCATCATCCTTGCACATGTGCACAGAACATCGGCTGAAAATTTTTAAATAAATGAAAAATCATTATTATTACTAGTAGTAGAAGTAGTAGTTTTTTATTAGTTTAATATTATTATTATTATTATTATTAGTAGTAGTAGTAGTAGTGGTGGTGGTGGTGGTAGTATTAGTAGTAGCAGCAGCAAAGTAGTAGTAGTAGCAGTAGTAGTTGTAGAAAGTTATTAGTAATAGTTATAACTTTTTAAATTCAATCATATCCAAATCAAATGATATAAAATTCAGAAATTACACCGATGTTTTTGTTGCTATTACCGTTGTTGTTGTTGTTATTATTATTATTATTAATGAAGTTATTATTATTATTATTGCTGTTGTTGTTGTTGTTGTTTGATGTTGTTTTATCATTAGCACTAATATTAACATTTGAAATACTGCAAGTAGAGCAGTAGCAATTTTTTGAAGAATTATAATTTTGCAATTGTTGTTGTTGTTGTTGGAAATATGGCTGATAATGATGTTTATGCTGCTGTGGTAAGGTGTGAGAGTGCGTATGTGATGACGTCATTGTTGTTGTTGTTATTGTCGATGTCGCCATTTCATATTGTTGACAAGCAGACCAAAAATTGTCGACTGTGATTGGTTCAACCCGTTGGGGTATATTATTACTTTGTTGTTGTTGCTGTTGTTGTAGTTGCTGCTGTTGCTGCTGTTGTTGTTGGAAGTGATGATAATGATACTGAGGTTCCTCTTTAGACTGACGATGATTTTGATGATGATGATGATGTTGAAGATTTGTCTGACGGGCTAATTTGTTTAACGTTGAATAATGGCAATGTAAATTATGTTGTTGTTGCTGTTGTTGTTGTTGATGTTGTTGTTGATGATGCTGTTGTTGTTGATGTTGTTGATGATGTTGTTGTTGTTGCTGCTGCTGCTGTGATAGTAATGATGATGTGAATAAGTGTGGAGATGATAATAGTAACGATACAGATGATGATGACGATGATGTTGATCCTGATGATGACAATGTTGATGATGATGCCGTTGTCAACAAAGAATACTTACGTGGTGATATAGACGACGATGATGAAACTAATGATGAAGATGATGACGACGGCGGCGATGATAATGATATTAGCTGCGCGTCAATTGCGTTTTGGCGTTCCATACTTCCGTGCGACAGATTGCAGCAGGTGACGTCGTTTTTTAAAACTTTGCCATCCTGGTGAGGAAGATGAAGAAGATGTTGTTGTCGTTGCTGATGCTGATGATGATGCTGCTGATGATGCTGCTGATGATGCTGCTGATGATGCTGCTGATGATGCTGCTGATGATGCTGCTGATGATGCTGCTGATGTAATGAAGACAAATTTAAATTTTTTAATGAATTTCGCGGTGGGATAATCGCCGAAAAATTGACGTCATCTTCGTCGTCGTCGTTGTCGACACACGTGACCAATCCTGGAGTTGGAGAGACGAATGATGTTGTGAATTCGTCATCATCGTCTTCGTCGTCATCATCATCATCATCATTATTATTATTAATGTTATTATTATTATTATTATTGTTGTTGTTGTTGTTATCGTAGCTATAGTTTTTAAATTTGTTGCCAATGTTGTTGTTGTTGATGTTGTTGTTCATGTTCATGTTGTTGTTGTTGATGATGTTTCGCTTTGACTGCCTGATACAATTGTTGTTTTTTCTGTTACGAAACAAGACAAAATATGTATGTATGCATGTATGTATGTATGTATGTATGTATGTATGTATGTATGTATGTATGTATGTATGTATGTATGTATGTGTGTATGTGTGTTTGTGGGTGTGTATGTATGTATGTATGTATGTATGTATGTATGTTTATAATATTCTAGTCACGTTCTAGGATAAGTTCATTGACAAGTATCAATCGTTTGTTTGTTTGTTGTTCTTTTATAGCTTCGTTCGTTTGTTTTTGTATGTATGTGTGTATGTATGTATGTTTGTGTGTGTGTGTATGTGTGTGTGTATGTGTGTGTATGTGTGTGTGTATGTGTGCGTGTATGTGTGCATCCGCAGATTGTTGTTGTTCTTCGGCTAACTCCAAAAAATGATCTCATGACATTTTAATTCGTTGAAATTGTCACCAAAAAGTAGATTATTCCATTTATTTGAAAACGAAATTTAAAAAAAAAATAAAAAAAATAGGGATGGTGTGTTTATTATCCGACTCTATTCAGTAGTGGGTCGTAACATTTGACAAGTCGGCCTTCGATTCGATATTCGTGTAGATGTTTACGATGCCATGTCGAGTTTTTCGAATGATGGATGTGATGGATGAATCGATGACTAGATGGATGAGTGGGTGAATGAATGAATTGATGAATGGCCAGATGAATTTGGTGAATGAATTCATTGACGAATAGACAGATGAATTGATGAATTGTCAAATTGTTAAGTAAATACAAATGAATGAATGCATATGTATAATTGGACTGATGAATCAAATAAACGAACGAACGAATTGATAAACGAACAAATGGATGGATGGAGAGATGGAGAGATGATTTACTGAATGAAGGAAGAAGTGAACTGAATGAAGGAAGGTGTGCAATGGATGGAGAAAGGAGTGCACTGAATGGAGGAAGGAGTGCACGGAATGGAGGAAGGAGTGCACTGAATGGAGGAAGGAGTGCACTGAATGGAGGAAGGAGTGCACTGAATGGAGGAAGGAGTGCACTGAATGGAGGAAGGAGTGCACTGAATGGAGGAAGGAGTGCACTGAATGAAGGAATGTGTGTGTAATATGCTCAGGATATTATTTGGCATGGACGAACTTACGTGCGTCACGTTCTGGTATAAGATGCATGTTAGCAGGGCGAATAATTTTTAAGAGTCTCTGGAGACCAATTATGAAGCATTATGGTGTGGTCGTTTATAAAAATTTGTGTGTGTGTGTGCGTTCCTGTGTGTGTGTGTTTGTTTGTATGTGCGCCTGCGTGTGTGTGTTTGTTTGGATGTGTGCCTCTGTGTGTGTTTGTTTGGATGTGTTTGTTTGTGTGTTTGTTTGGATGTGTTTGTTTGTTTGTGTGTGTATGCGTGTGTAGTAACAAACGGACAAAAATAACAAAAAAATGAGAATTTTAGACCTGCAAAGTCTCATTCAAAGACGTTTCGAATCGTAAAAAGAAATTTTTTAAATTTTACACAGGAAATTTGTGAGAAAACATACGTACATAGACAAAGACAGACACACACACACACACACACACACACACACACACACACACACACACACACACACACAGATATGCATTAATACATGCACACATACACACATGCATACCAACACTAAAACGCGTACAAGCTCATACACATACAGACATACATATATGATAACAAAAACCCCATACAATCACATGTATGTACTGATGAAATACAGAAAAATAACTTATACAAATACGAATACAAAATACAAAAACGACGAATACAAAATACAAAAAGGTACACACACATCACATACATACATACATACATACAAACAAACAAACATACATACAAAAAAGCAAACATACATACAAAGAAAAAAATAATGCAAACCTTTTAGTGTATAAATAATACAAAGCAACTGTTCCTATGCAGACCACAGCCATTGTCGCAATTCCGAATGTAAGAAGAAGCGAGAGGGCTGGATAGATGGAATGAATGAATGAATGAATGAATGAATAAATGGATGAGTAAAAGAGAAAATGAATGAATTAATTAATGAATGAATGGGCGAATGAATGAATAAGTAAATGAATGAACGATCAAGCGTATGAATGAGCTAACAAGGGAACGAAGAGACAAACTAATGAATACATGGATTATATAAATATTTGAACGAATGAACGAACGAATGAATGAATGAATAAATGAATGAATAAACAGATGTATAAATGAATAAATGAATGAATAAATGAATGAACGAACGAACGAACAAATGAACGAACGAATGAATGACTTATTTAACAAATGAAAGAACCGGTATTCATACAGTTTACATACAAATTTTTGTATGGCCATAAAAACTGACTGAACAAACCTGAACAAAAAAAATCCTACCATAACCACCTACCTAATTGTCCATGAAGATAAATATATGGTTGGATGGATGGATGGATTGGGAAAATAAAAAGAAAGAAAAAAGAAAAAATAGACGGATGGGTGGAAGGATGGATGGATAGATGGACGGATGGATGGAGAGAAACATAGATAGAGAGTTAGACGAAAACAGTAGAAAATGAATAAATATATCACTTTCTATGTGACAAAAACTCTATATTACTCTCTCTCTTTCTCTCTCTCTCTCTCGCTCTCACTCTCTCTCTCTCTATCTCTCTCTCTCTCTCTCTCTCTCTCTCTCTCTCTCTCTCTCTCTCTCTCTCTCTCTCTCTGCCTTTTTCTCTTCCTATCTCTTGTTTCTATTATAAAATTTCAACAAGCAACAAATTACTTTGAAAATCCTCTTGTAATGTAATTTGGAAAAAAGAAACATTTGGACGTCTGAATAGTAAGAAGAATTTTTTTTTACTTTTTTACATATATACAAACATTCATACATACATACATACATACATACATACATACATACATACATACAAACATACATACATACATATATACAAACATACATACATACATACATACACACAAACATACAAGTTTTGTAAGAATTGATAATAGCTGTAAATGGAACAGAAGTATCTTCATTCATATTTGATGCTGCTACCTACCTAGGATGGTAAGGTGTACCAAAAAAATAAACAAACACACACACATACACGTACACACACACGCACACATACGCAGACACGTACATACATTCACAGAATGACTTATTATTATTACATAAGTGACAAATAGCAATGAAAAGTGAACGGTCTTCAATATACTTCCTTACCTATTAATTCATCCCATCAGCTGTTTAGCAGCGTAAACATATGCGTGTGTATGTGTTTGAGTGTATGTGTGAGTGTATGCGTGAGCGTATGTGTGTATATGTGTATATATCGGTTACATGTGTGTATGTGTCTACTGATTTGATGAAACCTAAAGATTGTCATAGTCATACAACACAATATATACCAACAAAAACAAAGACACACACACACAAACAAACACACAAACAAACACACAAACAAACACACACATACACCCAAACATATCACACACACACACTTATACGCGCAGACAAAAATTCCTTCCTCCCATTTTCACTAACATGTATATACGAGCCTTAACATGCGGTGCGAACAATGCGAGCACGTATCTATGGGCAAAAATATACAAATAAATATTTAATACCGGTATTTCTATAATTTAAAATACACTAAAACACCCAGAAATTTCAAGAAATACCCATCTATACAGGAATTTTTTGCTACCTCGTTTGTCGTACTAAGCTCGGGCAGCATGCAACATTCAATATGCTAGATACCATGCCACTGACGAGTGGGATAATAATTCAGGCGCGTAAGTTAAGTTAAATGAACATCTGTCCGACCTCCAATCTATTTTATTCGTTTATTTGTTCGTTTGTTCGTTCATTTTTTGTTTGTTCATTCGTTCGTTCGTTCGTTCGCTCATTCTAAAAAGAATGAAAAGTAAGAACAAACCCAAACTGTGTTTATGGAATCTTTTAGGCTGCTCCATAACGCCATTATCGACCAATGATGCTAGATGAATGAATGAATGAATGAATGAATGAATAAATGAATGAATGAATGAATGAATGAATGAATGAATGAATGAATGAATGAATGAATTGAATGAATGAATGAATGAATGAATGAATGAATGAATGAATGAATGAATGAATGAATGAATGAATGAATGAATGAATGAATGAATAAATGAATGAATGAATGAAGGAGGGAAGGAAGAAAAAACGAATGAATAAAGACAAAGACAAAATCTGAATGATATACTGAAGGAATAAATGGATGAAAGAATGGACGAGTGGTGGATTGAAGGAAAGGCTAAACAAAATAAAAAGAATAGATGATTGATTGATTGGATGAATGAATGAACAAGTGAATGAATGAATGATTGATGGATGGAGAACAAATGGACGGTGAAATTGAAAATGAATTCCTGAATGAGCATCGCCTGTGCAGCAATTTGCAACTTCGGTCCTCAAATGATTAAAATTTTTTTTTTTAATAAAATTTAGCGAGGAAAACTTGAATTCTAAAAAATAAAATTCATATTACCTCCATTGTTATCATCATCACCATCATCTACGTCATCGTCGTCGTGGTTGAGGTTGTTGTAGCTACTTCTTTGGCTGCCGCTAGCACCGAAAACTGCAGCTCCAGCACTACAATTTGGCCGCAAATCACCACTCCAACTACCGTTCTGTAGACATTTAACATTGGCGACGTGTGATTGGTTGCAGGAGACTATGACGTAATCATCCCTGACCAGCCAGGTTACGTCTTTCGGTGGGTCTTTTAAATCCGGACATCCGAAAACTAAAATTTGACGATGACGATTTTAGGGTGATAAGAGATGATACGGATGATGATGATGATGATAAAAATAATAATAATAAAAATAATAATAATCATCATCATCATTATCATCATCACATCATCATCATTACAATCATAAGGACGTCATTTAGTGAAATGAAGATTGAGGGAGAAATTAACCTCTTTTAAAAACCATATTAATGGGAGTCTGGCATTGAAATGTCCTTACAGATAGACAGACAGACAGACAAAATAATAATAATAATAAATAATAATAATTATAATAATACGACTTCTTTAATGAAAACCATAGCATATCAAATTAACACCATTAGCTAGGCCTCCTACGAAGACCATAACCTAATCTATGTTTAAAAAAAATAACGCTACATAAATGTTGAATATTATTATTATTATTGTTGCAAATGATGATGATAATGATGATGATTATGATAATGATTATGATGATGAT